TAAATGCTTATAAAAAAAAGTTGTGCCTATGTATTTTTAATATTTTTCAACTGATATCGTAACAATATATCAGGAGCCTTGTATTAAATTTTCAAGCTTTCGCAACCAACAAATAAAATTTTATTGATATTTTTAGAAAAAAAACTAAAAAAAGATGGAAAATGAAAATGTCCCTAAACAGTTCAAAATAAATCAAAATATTTTGAAAACGTTATCGTGTATATAAAATGCAAATATAAACAACCAGTGAAAATTTCTTGTATATACGTTCATTTATTTTAGAGTTACACCAAAAACCAAAATCGATTTTTTGGAAAACCGATTTTGCGTAAAAATTCCCGTTTTTCCTTAATTTTTATGTTGTTTTTCCCGGCGCTTGTGAAAACTACTGGGAAATTTATACTTTTGACCCCCCAAAGTACCAACTAGATTCACTTTCCTATCAGAAAAGCTACTGATGAAGAAAATCAAAGCACTTTTACTGTCCTAAAACGTGATGACAGACACAAAAAAAAATAAAAAAATAAAAAAAAACACATCATTGTAAAATCAATACATTCATCGTTTCACTCAGAATCTAAAATATTTAGTTACATTAAGATATTAAGAATTGATAATCTATATTCATTTGTTTTATAGAAATACTTATAAAAAATGTGTTTTTATATAATTTATTCATAAATTAAAACTAGTATTTTAGAAAACTCTTGTGAAATCAGTGTAATAAATCAAAACAATATATTTGTTAGGAATTTATTATTGTCTTTAATTTAAATGTTTAATTATAAAACCTAAGCTTACAATTTATTAGTATATTAAAAAAAGAAAAAATTTATATGTATATTGGTCAACTCATAAGTATATTAACCATATGTATATTATTAAAAGTTAAAATAGGTAGTTATAATAGTTTTATATTATTTAGTGCCTATTAACTTATTTTAAATAGCAGCTCTTTTTAATATACCTATCTTATTATTAATATATTTTTTTTAAATTTCTTTTTGGTTACCAATAAAATGATCTCTCCATGACTTAACTTACTTCCCTCTTGTTATTATTATTTCATAAATCATATATATATTTTTTTTAGCTTAAAGGCAGCAGAAAAAAGAAGCGTCCAAAATAAAGAAGATGATGAATAAGAGATAGATAGCACTATAGATTACTCACATGTGTATACTTTAAAAAATATATAATAAATGTTTAAATACATAAAATAAATTTGTTTTACTTTTTATTACTATCTTTAAGTATCTTTACATTTTAGTTTTAAGGTATAAATTTATTTTCGAGAGTCAACCGAAGTAAAACCAACATAACTATTATTGTTATATATATATAGTATATACAGTGAAACCTCCCAATAGCAAATGTTTTTTTAGTGATTTCGATATATTTCCTTTATATGATTAGCCCTCTGAATAGAAAACACCTCCAAATAGCAGAAAAAATGTTAGTGTCCAGGGGTGTCCGGTATTTAGAGGTTTCACTGGTTTTACTATTTATTATTGTGAGGGTATAAAAATATGGATAACAGATGAAAAAGTGGCGTTGCCAGAATGTTAGGATGAAGGGGAGTTAAGTATAAATTAAACTTATAAGTTATTACAGTTTTTGTATATAATAAAATATAAGATTTATTAGGGGGGAAATGTATTTAGGTGGGGAGAGTGAAACACCAGCTGACCCCCCTGACTACACCACTAATTGATGGATATTGTCATAGGTACAATGTAATATCCAGTAGATATCTAATGTAGATATTTTGTTCTGTGTAGATATCTAATAGTGTACTATGATGGATATTGTATAATATTTTTAATGGATATCCATAGCATTGGAAAAAAGTGGCCATTTGGATATCTAGAATATGTCAAATAGATATCCATGTATATCCAGTAGATATTATGGATATCCAGATATTATATTCAATGAATATCCATTAAATATACATGTGCTATGTGGGAGTATCCTACGTGTTAGGCGCCACTGAGCTAGGCCTAAGCTAACTCTTCGTCTCAGCTCAGAATCGTTTTTCATATCCAATGATTTACCATTAAATTCAAATATAACACATCCATTACAATGACATACTCGAAAACTACTTCCTTTACAGGCACGTAACCAGACATTTTTTGGACCATTTCTGTTTTTACACTCAATACCACTATACTCTCCTTATCAGACAATATCCATAAAAATAATACTACATTTCACAATACATTGTCTGTATTGGTTAAGCATTATATTAATATAAATAAACACTAAACATCTTAAGGGGATTGGATACCGTGATTTTCTGTCTCTGTCTAACACACGCGCGACGAGGATTTTCTACTAATTTTACTTCAATCAGTTCAATCGTTGTATTGATGCAATAAAAATTCTGTAAATTTATGTGAATTCAGCGTAAAGACTACTTGAGATTACATTTTTTTATTGTTTCCCTCAAAATTCCACAAATTTGATTTAAATATTTTGAAAAATATAAAATCTAGTGTTTAAAAATTATTATTAAATAAAACTGAAAAAGTGGCCCTACCGATCTCAAGTAGTCTTCACGCTGAATTCAAATTAATTTTCAAAATTTTTATTGCATCAATTTAAGAACTGGACAGATTGAAGTAAAATTAGTAGAAAATCTTATGTCACACGTGTGTTAGACAAAGACGGACAATTACGGTATCCAATCCCCTTATAAACAACTATATAAGGACAAGTCGTCTATTTTTTTGGTCTACAAATATATACATTAATACCTCCAATATTATAATATAATATATTATATTATTATACTTCATACAGATAGTGTTGAGATTAATAGTGTGCAAATTGTAATGCACTAAAACAATATTAAATAATTATCGTTTTCATAATAAAAATAAATTAAATAGGTACTTCACTTTATCAACAATATTATAGCATAAAATGTTTTAAAAAATTTAAATATGTAGTACCAAATGTTTAATATTCATCTATTGATTTATGTAGATTAATATTTACCTACAACCTATCAAATGCTAGAAAATCCAAAATTACATTAATATATTATTAATTAATTAAGAAATAACTAATAATATAACAATATATAATAATATAAAATAACAATTAGTAACTATAAAATGTAGGTAAATAAGACTTGGGTAGATAAAATATATCAAAATTATGTATAATTAATGTAATTACCTTTCTAGGTTCTTAAGTTTTTTGGGTTATTAAAATAACTTATTAAAATTCTGTTCATTGTTTATTGGTTCTTACACTTGTGTCTTGTGAACAATATGAACTATTCTGCAACGTTAGCACTCTGCTTAATCAATACTCAAACTGGATAGAGAATAATAATATATTGAGACATATTATTTTGTTAGGCTTGTTTATTTTATTATATTGGTAATTGGTTCACTATTATATATTATTGTCTGTAGTTGTGTTTATCAAATGTGCATTCGATACCCGTATTTGGAATTCCTAATTTTCAATCTATTAATATACGTATTATTGTCTTATCTCAAATAGTCGAGTGAAAAATATTTATAAAATAGAATCTCGGAATTTAATTTTTGTTATACAATCATTAACTATATGGAGTACCATATAATATACATTCAAGATTTAGTCCGTTTGGGATAAATAAACACCATAATATTTAAAAATAAAAATCAAGGGGGCCAGTTCGGGGCCACTGACTTTTCTTAGGGGGCCAGGCCCCCTAAAGCCCCTCCTTTGACGACGTGCCTATTAATTTAACATTAGCCTAGTTTCACCTATTGTCGTAATAAGTACTGACAATCTACCTACTGGCTCAACAAAACCGTATATTGATATTGATCTCTCACCATAATTATAATTAAGAACTTTCCTTCATATAAAGAATATTATATTTATACACACACATATATTTATAAATATATACAGTCTTATAGTCTGTTATATTTTACAATGAGTTATAGAATTTTACTGCTAAATATAATTATAGTTTTTGTAATTCCAGAATTAATATTATTCTAAATAATTATTCTTAATATTAATATTATTAATATTATTCACAAAATTGCAGCCAGAAAATTAAAAATAAACTTTTATACAACAGTCATAAATCAAAAAATTAAAATTAATTTAATAAATTGTCTATTCATAAGGATCACAATAAGTTAATATTTCAAAAAATGATACAATAATTGACAAAGTTATTAAAAAAAAATCTTTTAATTGGGTCTCAACATCGTCTTCTATTGCAAAAATGTTCTACAAAATATATTCTAAGTCTATAGTATAATTATGAAAATTCTTATGGGGTGTTAATCATTAACTAAGTAAGTTGAATTGTCAGAATAAGAATACAATTTTAAAAAAGATGGTAAAAAAGACTGGTCTAATGATTTTAAATAGTTGGCCAAATTGATACAATTTTCACAAACATGTTTCTCCAAACTTATTAAATGTTAATAATAATAATAATACTTATTAAATATCCACATACGTATGAGAAACTGTGAAAGCATTTATTCTAGTATATTTAAATGCCTATAATCTACTGTACAACAATTGAATACAATTTAAAAAGATTTTGTTGATGTGGACTAATAAAAATATTAATAGAGATTAGTCATTCATTTTACATAAAGTTTGATCAAGGTCTCTATGCAATTTACTCTAGGGAAATGTTGAAAATAATCTAGGCAAAATAATCCCTGACCAGTTATAAAGGTTTTTACATTAAGACCAATATTTCGAACAAAAAAAATATTATAGAAAACTATTAAATTTTAAACTTCTGAAAATAATGTTCACTATAATTTTATCAATTTCCATGAATAAAAAAAACTCTATTACTCTTAATTAATAAATTTTTTTTTTTTACTTATATTACTTATGTTAATAATATTATTATAACTAATTTTTTGGCGACACTATAGTTGAGAGCTGTTGTATCTACTGAAATTCTCTTCTCCAATATTGTTTTACAAACTTTTCTATTTGAGCTGAGAGCAACGTCAAAGTTTTTTTGCAATGAACGATTTTGTGGAGATATCCAGCAGATAAAGAATTTGGAGTATGAGCACCTGAAGAAACGGTTTCAATTGACACTTTATATACGACTCTGAAATATTACATCACTGATTAAATGTATCTAAAAGAAGTAAGGAAATTTTAATAATACATCACAATAATTACATAATTTAATTAATAATTCAATAATTTTACTTACCAAGTGTTGAATATTGAGAATTAGACATATGCGCGGAATTGCATCTGGCAAGTCTATTTGGTTTTGGATTTTTTGTAATCCATTTTGTGAAATGTTTGGAACATAATTCATGGCTTTTAATCAGAGTTTCTTTACCTGATGTCATCCAATGTTCAGAATTACATCCAAATATCACATCTAAAATGTAAGTTAATTATTAATATTATGTAAAATGGTACTTAAAATTCAGATAAATGTTTCTTACTATGCAGAATCTTTTGGAAAACTGAAAAAAGTTGGTTTATCAACATTCATAGAAGAACAACTATAGCAGTATGGTAAGCAGCATCTAATGCCTCCTGTTGATTTATAGATATAATAATAAATATATAATTATACAAGTAAATATGTGCCAAAGGGTGAGTTTTAAAACAATTTAAATTTTTGTTACATATTATTTATTTATCATCAGATTTATTTTCCACAAATTGTATAAAATATAAAGTCGTAAACTTAACACATATTTCTCATTAACCATGATACAAACATTCAAATTTCAAAATGTGTAGGTACATACTATATAGCAGTGTTTCTTAACCTGGGGGTCACCAACTTATTATTTAGGGTCGTGTATGAATTAAAACTTAACTTTTAAAATTAAAATTAATTTTAATATTATATGTACCTATTTTATATTGTGTACAATGTACAGTACTTTTACTATTGATTGTTAACAAAAATCTATATTCTATGCGAGTATATATAAAAATATATGTTGGGGAGGTTGCTAAAACATTTTAATTCAAAAAGGGGGTCGCCACAGTAAAAAGGTTGAGAAACACTGCTATATAGCACTGAAATATAAAGGTTATTGACTGCGCTTTCCTAATACCCTGTCTGAGGTCGGTAGTATGAACATTGAGTGAGAGAGAGAGAGAGTTTGGAACTTATTTCAATTATAACTATGAAAATAATTTTTGATGGATCATTATGAAGTCCTAAAAAAGATTTGTAGGGATGGAGGCCAGTTTTTTATGCACACTCAGTAGTTTTGGCACTGAACAAAAGACAAGAGCCAACTCAAAAAATTAGACATGATAGTGTCATCTGTTAACATATTATAAAGTAGCATACAACCTACAAAGTATATAGTAGGCATACCTATAAAAAATAAAATTCAGATTTCCAAAATATTGTTGTTCTAATATAACATATTTTAATATTTACCTATATAACAGATATTATAATCATTATAACTCGCAATATACCACAATATTGCATTACAGACATTGCAGCTACAGGCTACTTACAATAGTCTGTAGAATATTAAATACAATACAAGCACGTTTCTCCGATTTCGTATAATATAATAATAATATATTATATAGGTAGGTACTATAATATTACGAGTAGAGACAAAACGAAAGTGACGTAAAATAATCGTACGGTTTGTTTTTTGTTTTTTAAGCGTCACACTTACAACAGCTATAAAGGATGAGTACTTGAAGTATTGTTCGACATTATTTTTTTGAGCAACGCCGATTTTGGCTGATGAGAACTCATACTTTTCTGCGGTTGCAATGCAAATATGCAATACTGCATTACTGCAGTCTGTTGTAGTCCCACCGGTTATTATCAATATTTTATTTATCTATGCTACGATAATTGCCGGTACGTTCGAGACGATGCCGTTTCATTGGACGAGCCTCTTATCAACAACACCGCAACGTGTGATACCAGTATCGGTCATGTGCAAGTTACTTAAACATTTCAAATGGTTACAGTATAAGTCGATTTCGTGCAACATTTTCATTTGGCATTTTCGAATTTTTTTAACCATTTATTATTGCCTCAAACGCCCTTTGATCACCTCTTCGACACACATGAAGTGAACGTCTGCGACCATACTTGGTTAACGTATTTATTTTTCTTTGTATTAATTTTGATTTTACTATTATGTCCGAATCAGCTCTCTCGGTGGATGCAATATCCACTGTCATTTGATATTAACCGTAAGAGATGGATCAAAAAAATCCACGACCAAGCTGTTGTATCTCTTCTGCGTTTCCTACACCGACGGCAGTCACCTGTCAAACACAAACAACTCAAATGGCGTCTACAATTATTTCTCCACCAACCAATAGCTATGTGCTGACGTCTAGTAACCTGAGACCTGTTACCAACTACACCCTCGTGGCTAGTTCACAGGTACCTGTCACCCAACAGTATGTAGTCCAGTCAAATACTCGAACAACTATACCTCAGTATGTCAACACAAACAACGTTAAGCATATTGTGTCACCCAGCACTCAACAGTCAAATGTTACTTACATGTTGCCATCTGGTGCTCATATTGTCAGGATGAACAATGTTGTAACTACCACTGTAGCCGGAGAACAAAAACCTAATACACAATACATTTTAACATCAAGTACTCAAAAAACAAATTCTAATATTAAATCGCCTTTAGGAACACAATCTTCTATAACAAGCCTTTCAATTGACACCAAAAACAATTGTGAGTACAAAATATTTCATAAAATAAAGAAGTTTTTATGCACAGAATATGCATGGTTTTATCTAACATTGTATTGTTTAATAAACTTTTCATATCTACCAACTTATTAATTCATTGCAATATTCAATATCGTTAATAGTGTATAGTGGTTATAGTTAAAGTACTTACCTAATACCTACAGACATTTTTTAAATTGTTTGCTATAGTATATTTATCTATTAATTTAGCTGGGTCAAGTGTTACGGTGCCTAGAACAGTTGGTGTAACCACATGTACATCTCCAATATTTCAAAGGACTGGTATGAATTTTCCTAGATTGAATGCTACATACTACAGCCAAATAAAAGGAAATGACACGACAAAGATTTCTTTTCGACCTAGTAAGTATCTAAATACAATTAATAAGTCAAATAATCAATTAATTTGTGAACTAATAATTTTAGAGCTGAATGAACAAAAACCCGGCACAAGTTATATACTAACATCAAATGATTGGTCCCGCACTAAAAATGTTCCCATATCAAGTATACAAAAAATTAATACAAATTATATGCAAATACCATTAATTCAAAAGCCTGGGACTGTGTTATCTACTAACACTTTAAGATCTAATGTTGATACCCAGCAACAAAAATCTCAGCATCAATCAATTCGTTCAGTAATTTTGCCATCAAATTATCGAACGACTGTTTCTCCACAGCAAGGCTCTGATTGTAAATTAGTTCTAAACTCAATTAATGCAACCCAAGTAAGACAAAGTTATAGAAGTAAATAAAATAATTAATTAATTTTGTAGATAAAAAAAATTATTTGAGGATTTTTATTCATGCAGAATATTTAATTATTAGTCTAATAACACTTATTTACTTTTACAGTAAAAAGTATTGTAAGCAATTTATATAAATCCTGTTTTAGTTATATAAAAGAGTAAAAGACTTAACGATTATAAAAGTATTAATTTTTTTTTAATATTTAAATGCAGAAACAAATATTTGAACACTTGAAATAATTTGATAATGGATTATTTCATTAAAACAATCAATTATTTGGTTTTCAAATACTGATAATAGATTTTACATAGAAAGTTGTAGAATTAAATATTAACATTTTTGGATACCTAATTAATATTTTTTTTTAAATCAAAATTAATACTATTTTTTTAGACTTATTATTATTAGGTAGCTGTTCATATTTTATTAAATAAAGCTCTATGCATACCGTATTAATTGTATTTTCACAACTTGAACAAACAGTTTACAAAACTTACAGTCTTACTATATGTATGCAACATAATAAAATATATTACGTTTTAAATATAATTTAGAGCATTTTATTAGAGGTACATTAATAATTTATTTATTATGTGTTGTGTATAAAAATGTTCTGTCAAAACATGGTATTATTTATTTATTTAATTATTTTTGAAGGATACAATTTTCATGATAATATTTATTTTTTTTTGTTCTTAAGGGAAATAGTTCAACTGATAGTAAACCTAGCACATCAAGTACTCCAGTTTCAAATATTCAACAGCACAATACAAATTATATGCAAATACCAATATCTCAAAAACCTGGAACTATACTTACTCGTAATAATTCGCAACCAAATATTGAGAATAATATACGAATTGGACAACATCAAACTATTCGATCAGTAATTTTACCATCAAACTATCGAGCAGCTATGGTATCATCCCCACAAAGAGGTGTTGATTATAGATTAATATTAAAACCTGTAAATATTCAATCACAAGTAAGTTAAACATGATTAAATTAAAAATGTGTATTATTATTGATTAATTTAATTTATGTTCACAGGTAATAAGAAATTTGCCACCTCCTCGACTTCCAGGCCCACGAAATAATTCACCACGAAATGCTTCCCCGCGACAAACTACACAACGACAAACATCACCACGACAAAGTTCCCCACGGCATAGTTCCCCACGACAAAGTATTCCTAGACAAACTTTACCGCGGCAAACACCACCTTCTGTACGTCCAACTTCATTCCCGACCCGTATTCCTTTTACTCGTCCATCTGTATCTAGAATTCAAAGTGAAATAATTGCCAATTCAAAAATTTTTCCAATTCCACTAAGTAAAAGAAATAGCCATTTAGTTATTACAGAAAGATCTATACAAATTTGTATGGATGAAATCAATAGTAAATATAATAAAGATAATCCAAATCCAGACTTAACTCATGAAGCAATGATAACTGTGCAAGCTGAAGTTACTTATAGGTTATTTTATTTGTTAAGGGTAAGAAAAATATGATTTTTAGTGATACTTTTTGTTTAAATTAATAACTTAATCTATAATATAGTTTGAAAACTGCTATTAGTTGCTTTGTACAAATTCATGTAATTTGTTGGCTTAGCATAAAAAATCACTAATGGCAAAAAGTTCAAATGTTGTGGACTAAGATTTTTTTATTCTCAACTTCCTACTAATTTAATAATTGGCATATTTTTTAATTATCTGTTTTTTTTATTATTATTAATGATTAGAAACAATTGTGTAATTACACTGATGAAAACAATATTAAGTAACTATTTAATGATAATAATCAATAATGGGCATGAAGATTAGTTAGTTTTCTCAGTTGTTGTATGTATTTAGATTGATTGATTATAATTTTTAGTTAAACTTTCTGATGGAACTTTTTAAAATTATTTAATTATTAATTATTTCTCTATCTTGAATCGAACAATTGTATTATTGTAGCAATATTAACTTTTAACTAAAATACATTATTACATACACATTTATTTATATCATCTAATGTACAATATTTTCAAACTTATTTACATATCTCTTTTTAAAATTATAAGTATCGGTACTTTTTTCTATTTAAATTTCCTACCAACTAAAAGTAATAATTATAAGTTAAAAAAAAAAAAAAATTACTTTGAACAAAATCAGTATTATTAGTTTTCTTTATCATTATCTCTTTACAGATAATAAAAATACTTATGTTTAATTTTGTATAAGATAAACTAGTTCAAATTTCAATATAACACATTCTGTTATTTTTTTTAACACAAAAATGTATTAGATATTTAGATCTCTTACTGTCTTAAAATTATTTAACCAATACTATACAGTAAATTATGGGACATGGGGCTCTGCCTTTTCTATGCTTTGATTCCATTTCCATCTTGGATTGACAACTCCATGAATTTATATTCAATTTTAATTATTTTTGTTACAATTTAGTTTAAAAAATGTTTTATTTCATAATTTGTTATCATAACTGATCATTATCTACTTACTACAGTGTATTGATTTTTTTCCTACTTTAAGTCTGTGTGAAATCCATCAGAAAAAATACTGACACTTATAAGTATTATAATATGAATTAAATTAACAAATCTTTTTTAGTTAAATATTAATATTGTTATAACATTATAACTATTTGGTTCAAAATAGAGATGTACTAATAAATAATAATTTACTATTTTCAAACATGTCATTAGTGACATTTACTTATATCAATCTATCAGCCTAAATATGTTCCAAAACATAAAATGGTTATAGCCTATTAATATTATTTTCAAGTGCTATTAGCTCAATACTCAAAAAATAAAGTAAATTATTAAATCAAAAGGAAGATAGGAAAGATCATTTTATTGAATGAAAAACCTTAAATATGATTTGCCAACAATTAACTTTTTGTCATTAGTGACTTTTTGTTCTTATCCGACTATATCAGAGTCTTTTGTATACTATATTAAATGTTCTATATTTTGAACAATTATTAGTGTAGGTATTCATTAGTATTATACTAAAATAAGTGTAGTTACTTGTTCACGTATTAATTTTCTGGGTACGTTTTACTATAGTATAGGTTTCAAACAACTGATTCATAAATCATTAGATAATTCAAGAATAAATTAATACTTTTTTGTAGTTGCACAATATATTGAATTTTGAATATTGAAAAATATTTTATTTTATTATGTTTTAATAAGTAAATATGTGTTGCAGGAATGTAAAAAATTTCTTATAAGAAGTCGTTCAAATATTTTAACTGAAGAAGCTGTAAGACAAGTATGTGCTGAATATTTCGGTACATTTTTTGGTAACAAATTGTGGCCATTATTCTGTTTAAAACGGACTGAAGATGGTTTATATTCTGATAATGAAGAAAATAGAGTTTGGACGAGAAAACATAATAATGTTAATCTTATAGGATGGTTAAAACATCCAAAATTTCGTAATCCAAGTTACGTTAAAAAACGTAAGACCATGCACTTATAATTATTAGTTATTTATTAGTTATTTATTTTTCACATATACAATAGAAACTGGTTTATAGTGTTATCTTTAACCTCAACATAAATCAAGTACCAACAATGACATGTCAACATTTGTGCACATTTTACAATTATTTAAATTTTGCATAAACGATGATAGGAATTAGGCAGTAATTTGAGTTATAAAATTAGATTATTGAAAAAAAAAATTTTGTTTCTTTGATCAGTTAAGCTTGAATACTATTGGAAGTACTAGAACATGTTTTTTCAATCAGATTTTTGTTACTGTATAGCCATTTAACTACTTGGAAAAAACTACCTTTTTTTTTTATTTATCCTTCAGTGGTGTTATAAACATTAAATGGTTTCTTATGTTTATAAATTGTATTTCTTGATAAAAATGTGTTCACTTTTATGTTCTATTATTCACTATGCAATATGAATAATATTAATTTCTATAAAATAATTTAAAATGTTATTGAGGTAATCATTTAAAACAGTTTTAAGATATTAATTGTGTAAGAATACACTATCTATAATTTTGATTTAAATGTAAGTTTGTTTAGTAGTTATTAAACTACCACATGATATACTATTTTGTAAAATGTTAATATATACATTAAAATATTTATATTATGTTTACAGGTTCTTTGGTGAATTTGAGAAACACAAATCCTTTATTACCTAAACTAGAAAATATTTCTGAAGATATATATGAACAAGGGTTACATTATCATACAAATCAAGAATCTACTCTGACATTCTTTCAATCTTCATCTAAAAATCAAGTAACAACAAGGAAAATAATTTCAAAAACACATGAAGATGCATTTAGACCATCATCGCATAAGTTTATGGACATTCCAATAGAAAATCAAATGCTTTCTACAAGTAAACAAATATCATCAACAATATTTCAGTCTCGACAAACAGAGTAATACAGAATATAATTGTGTATCAAAATGTTTTAATTTTAATACGCATAAAAAATTAACTATTGTAATTTTAGACTCTGATTTATGATGAATAGTTTTAAGTATATGTGTTTTGACATTTGAGTCATTACTAGTGAGTTCTACAACTATTAAGAAACGTATATTATTTGATTGTATCAATAAAAACCTAATCAATTATTACATACAGAGAGATATCATAAATGTTTAAGTCAAATAATCATTGAAATTTTTAAAATATCTACCTAGTTAAATAAAACACAAATATCCAATATCATTAATATCTAAAAATATTTTCACACAAATCTACTAATTCATTAATGTATACAATAATAATTTTGGTCTAGGTATGTTAGAAATTGTTGATCATTGTATTGTATTGTTCAAAACTTCAAAGAATAATCACTTCTATCTTTTAGTTCAATCCTAAATTTAAATAGCTTGTAAATACATTATTTCATATAAATTAACAAAAACCTATTTTTATATATTCAAACAAACACTTTTTTTTATGAGTTTTATTTCAAAAACTTAAACTAGATTTTTAATGTCTTATGAAACAGAGTTTATACAATGCAATTTCTTAATATTAAATATTCTATTGCAATACTTAAATGTAAAAAAAATTGTTAAATTATTTAAAAAATATATATAATATATTCTGTGATTTGTTTTGTGTGGAAATAATATCTAAAAATCAATGGTGTGCATATCATATTTTATTGATTTAAGATAAAATAACTTAAAGATATGTTTAGAGTAAGTTTTGGAATTCGTGTTTTATTGACTTATTTTTAAAATAGTAACTAGCTGAAGATTGATTCAAATAATGTTCTTTAGCTCTTTTTATATAGATTACAATTTCACTTTTACATTTTGTTGACAATCAATATGATGTTCCATTAAGAAATATAGGCAATATTATTAATATTATTTATTTATATAATATTTATTATTAATATTCAAAAATAAGTCTCAACTTATAACTTATGAATAATTGAAGGATATAATTTGAAGAATTAACAGTAGGTTTCTATTTTAATTATTGATTACTTTGACTATGGACTACATTTCTTAATAAACATTTATTTTATTGTTTTATGAAAAATTAATTTTTTTTATTGATTATCTAATTGTCTTTGCTAATAGTTCATTTATGAATTGATTAGTTCTATAAATTAGTTTTATGTGATAAAGTTATGTTTAGTGTAACAACATTACATTTAACTACTTAAAACATAATAATAGTATCACTGTTTTCACTACTTAACTTTAATAAATATTTTGTCATTTGTTTTTACTCTTGTTATTTACAAAAATACAATTAATATTTTGATTGATGATGTACAATGCGAAAAGTCATTGCCTTAAATTAATTTATAGTACAATAATTGTGACTCATTATTATTAATTAATATTTATTGAATTGTTGTTATTATTTTTTTATATAAAACTTACAATATCAGTCGCAATAGATGTTAATACATTTTTATGTTTAAGATTTATTATAATTTAAGTATTTAAGAATTTCATGATCTCCTTGTTCGTTCATGTAATATCATAATCATTGCCAATTTGTTTTATTTACTTGGTTGTTGTAATTTTTTTTTTATTTTTTTTTAACTGTGTGATAATATTATTATAGTGTACCTACTACAATTTAATGATAATTTATGAATGTATTTGTTTAAAATTGTGATTACTGATTTATGTATGATTAAGAATGTTAATTATTAATAATAAACTATTGTGATTACTGATTTATAAATTATAATTTGTATGAATTTAATGTGTACTTTTTATATATATTTTATTTGCCTAGACAATTACATACAGTGGCATAACTAGGATTTGAGGAACCCATGGCATAAAATCTCCTATGGTGTCTAATTTTTTTAAATAAACAAAAGATAAATCTGTACTTTTTTATATTGAAATAATATTCAATAATTATAATGTAAAATAAATGAATTTAAGTTTAAAACGTTTAAGTATCCAAATGTGTCAAGGAGCATTAACACAATATTAATTATAAAAAAAATTATAACCTGCAAAGTAGTCCATTAGTAAGTATTTGTAAGAGAAAATTCGATATAAGAAAGTTGTAATTTTCAAAGTCTGGTGACTCTAAACTCTAAAGTTTACCCAGAATAACGCAATTTAATGGGCACATTTTACCCTACTATACTTTTTTTTGATATTTTGTTATATCATTAAATTAATTAATTTAATTTAATTTTACCCATTAAAGTACACTTTGGGGATTTGTATAATACCTAGGTACCTATTTATTATATTATATTATATTATTATTACATTATTTTTATATAAGCTATTTGTTATTCCTTTCCATTGATATAAATTTAAAGTTAATGTAAGTCTAAATTATAAGTTATGTTTAGTGTGATTGTATTCATTCGAATACTTATTTATATAGGTACTTATTAGGTTATAGAACATAAATAAAATTATTTAAGGTGCAAAAATGCTTTCAAACTAGTAGGTACATTGGATATTAAGACAAGAATACTAATTATATTAAATAATACAAATGAAATGTAATATTCTAGAGTTAACTAGTTAAAATAAATATCATGTTTCTTATGGTATGATTAGGATAACAATATGTATTAATATCACAACTTATTTCCATATCCAATATAGTTATATATTTAAATCCTATATTTATTATTATATCAGCTATATTTTATAATTTATACATACATTAACTTTAATTTTTAAATGTATATCAATGGAAAGGAATAACAAATAGTTTATACAAAAATAATGTAATAATAATATAGTATAATAAATAGGTAGGTATTATACAAATCACCCACTGTACTTTAATGTGTAAAATTAAATTAAATTTATTTATTTAATGATATAACAAAATATCAAAATACAGTAAAGCAGCCATTTTAAATTGGCCCATTAAATGAGTTATTTTATATGTAGTGCCGAGACCATATAAAGATTCTTAATATGCGATCCAGATGGGTAAACTTTAGGTCTCCTAGACTTTGAAAATAACAACTTTCTAATATCGAATTTTTGGTCTTACAAATACTTACTAATGGACTACTACGCAGGAGTGAAAAAAAGATTTCAAAATGTTGAAGTGACCCAGCGTGCAAACTTTTAGGGATAATCGGAAAGTTTCAGTTGACTTACAAATTCTGATTTTGTGCTTACAAATACTTACTTATGACTTACTAAAGTATGGTTTGTTCAGATAATGGGATAATAATGATCATCCGACTCAAAATAATTTGAACATTTTCGTGATTTTTAAGCCTTTTGTCAAAGATAGAACTTTAAATGCATATAAAAAAAAAAAATTTGACGAGTTATGTATTTTTAATATTTTTGTGACAGTCATTGTAACAATATATTTAAGAGCCTTTTATTAAACTTTCAAGCTTTTTTATTTTGAAAATGTAAACAACATTATAATATAAACAATAAAACAACCAGTGAAATTTTCATGTATCTAAGGTCATTTGTTTTAGTGTTACTCCAAAAACCAACATTTTGTCGAACACCAATTTAGCTTAAAATTTTCAGGCTTTCCCTACTTTTTTTTTGTTTTTAATTTTGACTTCCTGAATGCACCAACTAGATTCACTTTCCCATCGAACAAGATACTGTTGAAGAACATCGAAGCAGTCTCAATGCTCCAAACGGTGGCCACAGACACAAAAATAAAAAAGCACACATCATTGTAAAATCAATACATACAGCGCTCTGAATCTAAAAACAGAAGTCGTTCTTCACAAGTGTTTTTTTTTATTTTTTGTATGTGTATACATAGAATAATACTTTAATAAAAAAAAAAAAAAAAAAAAAAAACAATTCTGGTCGGTTAATTTGGTTAATTTTAGCCTTCGGTAGATACCTATCTACGCGAAAAGACGTGATTGGCCATCGTCCAGCAGTCGTTAACTACTATTTCATCGTAGCACATAATTATTATACTGGCGATGATCTATTTCGATATCGATAGTCGTGGTGACACTCACTACTTTATATACAGCCCACAAAACTGTCACTTTGCCATTTCACGTAACGATTTATTACTCGGGACGAATCAACGACTAGGTAATTTATTTCAGTACACTTTTATACCGCTAATATGTAGGTACCTACCTATAAGAATTCAGAGTGTGATCACGTTTTACGTACCTACAAATATTAATATAATATTATAATAAACAAAATATATTGTACATTGTTATTTAAGTGTAGGTGCCAACCTCCTAATTGAATACAGCTGCAGCGGAGATTTTTATTTTTGTACACTTGATGAATCTTTGTCCGTTTGTTAGTACCGAAGAAATCGTGTGGTGACACTAGACGCCATCGTATAGGTAGGTACGAGTTTTTTTTCACAAGGTATACCAAATAATATCATCCATATTTAAACGTGGGCATTATGAACTACCTAGTTAAAAATTTAATTTATTTTAATTCTTAATTTCTAATTCTAATTAACTTAAGAACTATTTTAATTGACTGTTCAAATAACTTATAGTTTTTGAAATTGTCGGTTTTAATACCTATTGTCTTATAGCTGGGTACACGCTGTTCTAAATAAAAAATAATTTAATACAATAATGTATATTATGTTTCTTGATAAAATAATAAATAACTAATATAATATTATAGATGGGCCTAGAATACTTTTTGTGTGAATATGTGATACCTATACCTGCTAGCCGCTAGGTACCCACTTATTAATTAAAATAGTTGGTAGATTATTTTTTTAAACCGAATTAATATGTCTTCCCGTATTAACTTTAAGCTAATAGCAAGTTAAATGATTTATATTATATGCTCACTGCGAAATTCTAACTTCTAGATCATGAGTTCACTTAACTTAAGTTCAGTTAATTATCTTCATTAATTTGTCCACATTTTCCTATAGAAGAGATCCTACTGGATGTAAGTAGTAGACTGTAACCTGTAATGCACTGATCAGTCTACCGGAACTCATAATATAAATTGCGCAGAACACGAAAGTGGACCGAATATGTAAATTTCATTTTCAAACTGAGCTAGTTAGTTAGTTTGGAATTTTTTTAATTAAAATAAACAATTACATAATTCTTGAAAAAAATATTTAAAACTAAATGTGCTACTAACCTGCAATTTCTTTAACCTTGATACAATAACTAGTGTGCAATTAGAAGGAATGGTAGTATTTATTTTTTATAAAATATATTAGGTATTTAAAAATCGAAAGTTGCACAGCAATCACTATTTATGTATGATTTTAATAGAAATAAAAAAAAATAATTAACTCCTTTGAACTATGAGTTAAGTCAATATTTGTCTCTAAATTAACTTTAAACTTTTTAAGTTCAATATTTTGTTTATCAACTTATAATATTGGGTGCTCTCAAGGCCTTAACATCAACTTAAGTTATCTAACTCAAGATAATTTTTTCCATTAGCTTGCTCACCTTTGATTAAGTTATACTATTTTATAACCAATTTTTTTTTTTAGAATTGTAAAATACTAATACGATTTGAAAACATTATTCTTATTATTCTGTTCCTCTCGGACGGTATAATATAGATAATAAAATAATATGGAGATGAACGCTATCAACGATTGCGTTAAGAATTACTTGTCCCACTGCGGTGGTGGCATCAAAGGCTATGGTGGGTGGACGATTAGCACTGGGTCTGAAACGGTGGCCGGTCGTGGCGTCGTGGCCACCCGGGACTACAGCGTGGGTGATGTGATATTCGTGGACGTCCCACTGATCGTTTCGCCGAGAGCTCTGGGCACAGACGGCACCGGAAGCTGGCCGGTGTGTGCAGTGTGCTACTCTGAAATGACGACTCCAACCGGATGTCCGGGTGGTTGTCGGTTGCCAGTGTGTGGACGCCAGTGTGCCGACCGTCCCGAACACCGGGACGAGTGTCGGTACGTCCGGCAGTTACGCCCGAAAACCAAGAGCGATGGCCAGACGTGGTCGGTGGGAATTTACAATGCGATCACGGCCGTCCGGGGCCTGTCAATCAAGGATGGCAAGTACAGGTTCTTCCTCGACGTGTTGCAAAAGAAATCGACGGACAAACTCACGTTTGAGGTATTTCTTCTTGGTATACCTACTATATTTACTAAAAATAATGTGATAAAAAAAAAATTAAAAATGCCCACCAGCAGGGTTCATATATGTATTATATTATTATGGCGGAGAGTGTGGTGTGTTGAAAAAATAGTATCCTGTTACCTACTTGCATACTTGATGATGGATAATTAATATTAAAATATGTAGTTATTGTCTGAAACACAATACATTGTGTGAGTGCGACAAGGGCTAAAAGTGAGCTTTTTCAGTCTGGTGCAACGTTTGTGACTCCAGGGAAGTGCTGCCTTCCCGACATAGCTTCTATTTTTTGACAAGCCTCTGCTAGTCTGATGCCTCTTAAAACGCATGTATCGATATTACGGAGTTTCACAATGAACTGTTCTCAGAGCTAGATTTAAGGTTTTCATATATAGCAGAAAGGGAGTAACCCACCTGCCCATCTAACAGCTGTAGTACTTAATATAATATAAGATAAAAATTATTGATAAGTCCATGTTTACTAATCTGACTGAACTTTTTGCCAGCGGAAAAAAAGTATTTACAGTCCGCTGGTTAGAAAAGGGTCATTTATTATAATGCTCCAACCAAATATTGAAAATTAAATTTTAGTTGCATGCGAGACAAAAAATATATTACTCATATCATATTATAAATGTGACATTAGATTTTCATGGCTGGAGAATGAAGGCATAAATATTTTTAAAGGACCCATACTAGAGAAGGTAAAACACTCATATGGCTTCTCTTTCACATAATATATAGAACAACTTTTTTTATTTTAGATTTTATTGATTGTACGTACTTACTTATGGCAATCAAAAAACTTATAAACTTAAAAATAGATTACTATCCTGCAAGGGTCTATCACCTATGATTAAAGTAATTGTAAAAATATTTCAATAATTAAACCAAATACCAATACTACTATTATCTTATAGTCAGACATAATATTTTATTTTTTTAAATATAAACTACACTGGCACGGCAATTAAAACTAATAGTATAGAGGCAAATTTGTACAGTTCATAAATATCCACTTATTTGACAGGTATTTTTTTTTAAAACAAAAAAAATAAAATTATCTAACTCACAAATTATAAATATAGGTATTATGTAAATACCGTTTACCTAATAGCAATCAGCAGCAAAATCTTAACTTGTATAATTATCATGACAAATTATGAAAGTTTATATTACAGTTAGATTCTTGTTCAATTGCGGACATAAGACATAAGTACTTATTGCCATTAAATATTACACCATCTTGACGATTTGGTTTCATAATTTCCGAGTTTATGAATTTTGTTGGAACCGGGGATTCGAGCCATCCGTTTTTCAGGAGTTCAATATAGGCAATTTCTGAGCATGTGCATAGAAACTGGCAACTGCGTTAGGTTGCGTAAAAAAGACGCGTACCTACCTAGTAAGACGACGTAATAATTATAGTTTGTATGATTAGGTTATGAAATAGCTGTGCACGCACTTCCATGACGTCAATAATAAGTAATAACGTGCTAAACGAATTTTAATTTTTAGTTTTTTTTTTATTTGTCCAAAGCATCAATCGTTTGCAAATTGTATTGACAAACGTATGTATCAGTCCCTTGCACCAATAGACATGCCTATTATGCAAATAATTTGCCCTAAATATGTCAAGTCATACGAACAAAAATAAACATTTGTCCCGTATAAATACATTCAATATTAGCAAATCATCAATATTCAGTTCTATAATTTTTTTTATGTAAAAACAAATGTTCTGTAAGCTAAGATTTCAAATTTCTTTTAGTACTTTTTCGATAAATGTTGATAAATTTTTTATTGTTGAGTCAAAAAGCTTGAATTGTCATATAATCTTTCTCTTGAGTTTTTAATTTTCAATTAAAAAATATCGAAAATACATTTTTAAATCATTTTTTTATAAGTGTTATAAGTTAAAATTTTGACAAATTTACGAAAATGTTCAAATAATGTTATATTTAAAAATGTAAGTATACAATTTTTAATATTTATACCTGAGGTTTAATCATCATTAAATACAAGATTTTTCATAAGTTTTGATTGTTGGAATTAAAATATAATTTTTACTATATACTTACAATTAATATTTTTTTATAAGCTTCTGAATTTTGATATTAAATGAATATTCACATATTCACGCCTAAATTAACGGTTTCTTATCAAACTATTTTCTTATTATGTTGTGATTCAATAACGAATAACCGTAAATATTTTAAATTTTCACCAAGTGTTGATATTATAATTTCCTATGCCTAATTTTCTAAATAGTTTGACTCTTTTTGAGCTATATATACATTTAAAATTAAAGTTTTTTTCTAGGTTTTTCTATACATGTTGATATAAAAATGTTCGGGTAAAAAAGCTTGAACATGTAATAGAAGTTTCCTTTTAAATAATTTATTCTGAAACCAAAATATAAAATATTATATATTATATTATAATATATTATTATTATGCACAATTTTTTTATAAACATTTTAAAATTTGAACAAAATTAGATATTTACACTACTATTAAGTATAAATAACGATTTTAGTTATTTTAAAATATTATCGTTGGTACTTGAAACCTTTAACGTTTCAAAGGATAGGTATTACTATAATTTATTCACATCAAATGTAATGTTTACGACAGCAATTATTTCAATCTACTGTATATTACTATTTACTACCTCTAAAAGTAGAGCAATAATGACTTTCATAGCAATAAAAATATATCATAATAATACATCCTTAGTCAGTGTTGAATTCAAGTATACTCCAGACTCCAGAAGGGGGCGAATCCCCTCCCTGGAATTGAATTTACCACTCTCACCATCTGACTAATCAACTGTCAATAAAATATATTTATTAAATATTTAAACATACAATAGGTACTCGTTACGATTGTATTATTTGTATTGTTATATTATTATATAATTTAACATACTTAAAGTTCACACATTTTATATCGAAATAGGTATAAATAAAATATATATAATATAATATAATTATAATTTCTACCAACGTTTCAATAACGTATAGATACCTACTATTTTTACCAAAATATAGATAGATATATAGGTATAGTTATATTTATATATTTAATATTTAATATTATAAATAGGTAGAAGAACTGAAAAGAAACATAAGTATGGAATTAGACAAGGAAGATGAACAAATAATGGTAACTACTTGTAAAATAATGGATGCTAATTGTTTTGAAACAATAGTAAATCGTTCCAATAAATTAATAAGTTTGAAAGGTCTGTACCCAGTAGCAGCATTTATGAACCATTGTTGTGTTCCAAACACAATGCACAACTTTAATGAAAAACTTCAAATGATCGCAAAAGCTTCTTTACCGATATATAAAGGACAGGAAATTACTACTAGTTACACATATTCAATTTGGCCTACTTCACTACGACAGAATCACTTGTTGACGTCAAAACAATTTATTTGCACCTGTATTAGATGTTGTGACACAGAAGTTAGTTATCATGATATAAGACTTTTGTCACAGTTTTTACGTTGTAACTATATCCTAATTTTAATTAATTTTATTTTTACGATAGGAATTTGGAACTAAGTTAGCAGCACTGAATTGCATAGTTAAAAATTGCGAAGGTCGAATTTTACCTATCAATCCATTAGATAAGAAGTCAATTTGGCAATGCAAAATGTGCACAAAATTAGTATCGAGTACAGAAATGTTATGTTTCTATAAAGATGTCGAGACTTTAATGAAAAGCATAAGTGTATTCTGTCCAAAAAGCTTTGAAGCAATTTTAAAGTCATTTAATATTCATAAAGACAGCCCATTTGTAATTGATTTAAGATTGAAATTTATTTGGAAGTCGAAAAACAACAGTAACGTTTGATTTTAAGAAGTGTAATATAGTTACTTAATAAATTTAATCAAATAAAATTTATTTTAATATAGGTTTGAATCTTGAGCAATTGCTTTATAAAGAAAAATTGTGTATGGAAATGTTGGATTTAGTACGAAAACTAAGATTAGGTCAATGTCGATTATTAGGTAAATATAAAATTGCATATTATAATAATAATACCTTATGTAGTTATGTACGAATATCAAATACAATCACAATAGTTTATCATCTAATTAAAAAAAAATACAAATATTAACCAACTTCTTATTAGTATAAATCAGTTTTAATTTTGATTTCTTGTACGTCGCTTAATAATAAATATTAATATTTTTCCTGTTTTTTTTCTTATCAGCAATAGTGTTAAATACAATTATAAATAATAACCTTTTTTTATTTGATGTCAATTAAATTATTATTACATATTAATTATTTTTATATACGATTATATTTTAATAGGTTTAATATCTCTAGAACTTCTGAAGGTGATCAGAGAAAAAGCTTATCGTTTTCGGCGGAATTGGAACACGAAAACATTGAATGTACGTACACAATATTTTTATGGTTTTATTTCGTAAATTTATTTAGTTTAAATATTTACATTTAAATTAAAGAAGTTTTTATGGCTTTGCACCCCCACAAGCTGGTCTTCAAGTTCGGTCTTAAAAACACGTACCTAAAACATAGAAAATTTGAGTTTGACAAGACCAAATTTGTGTTACTACACATTAGCTTATATTATAAGAATGAAATGAATTATTATAGAGCATGTAAATTTAAAACAATACAGGGTCAGGTTTCATCACACAATTGTGGGGGGGGGGGAATTCTTCCTTTTCGAAGACGATTCGGCATCGACATTTTATTTATATTTAAACCTAATACAGGTGCCAGTGACTGTCCTTAATGTTCCCTTTTACCCACCTCTAAAATATAATCCATTTATTCGTTTGTTTTTACAATATCTTAATTTTTAAGTTACTTATATGATCATTTTTAATTTGTAATATTTTACATACCTAGGTATTCATAAAATCATAACTTGATTAAAAATTGTAATTTCGTAAATATCAAACATAGAAACCTATTTATTACAATGTTCTTAATTTGAAGTCTTATAATATAGGCCAATAATACACAATTCACTCTAATTTTAAAGCTAAATTGGTTTTACTTTATATTGAATTCAAATTTTCAAAGCTGTACAGTGTACTGTATGTTTGTTATAAAACACATGTGGGTGAGACCAGAGACACCCTTTAATATTAAATATTAAAATTAGCTCTTCATTAATTATACTATTTTATTAGTATATACAATCATTTTACTGGGCACCATTTTTTTTTTTTTTTAATCGACAGTGATTTTTATGCTGATTATGAATAAGTTAAATATATGTGTGAATAGTGGATAAAAGTAGCCAGTAGGTTTGGAGTTAAATTTTAGGATTTTGGTATGTTATTCGTGGCCGCGCACAGCACATCACTGCAGTATTATATATAGTTACCTACTAAAATACCTTATACTTACTACATACGAGTAACTATCTCCGAAGTGTTGCGTCTTGCGTGTAAATACTAACTGTATACTATCACACCGGCCCCTGACATAATTAAATTGCAATATTTTGAAAATAAGGGGATAGTGTGACGTACGTCAGTGGCGTATTTAAGATGAGGGTGAGAAGCATAGGCGTGCGCAGACCTTGCTGGCAGGGGGGGCAGAATGTAATAATGTACCTATAGGTATATTATATAATATATAGGTAAGTAAATATTATTTTGGTTATTAGTTCAATTAATGTAAGTGATGGAAGTATTTTCATTTTATGTATCATTAAAACTACAAATAACTACAAATTTAATATAGTAATTGAAACTCCAAAGTTTTTTTATATTATATTAATATACATGAACAAAGAAAATTATTACATTCATACAGTGGTGGATCCAGGGGGATGGCAAAGGGGGCATTTGCCCCCCCCCCAATAACCGTAGTTTTCCTTTGTTTTACACTGTGTTTAGCCAATTTTGGAACTTTCATATACTTTTGAGCCCCCCATGCCCCTCCCAAAATTAAGCCCTGGATCCGCCACTGCATTCATATATATTTTTATGCCCGATGTGTTGGTGAAATCTGAATTTACTAATTCTACTTACTTTTTATTTACAATTACAAAAAAAGTAAGTAAGATAGGTAAATTATTATTTGCACCAACACGTTGAACATATTATAAATATCAACATTTAAAAAAAAATTTAAATCCTTAGTATTGCATTTACATGATTTTTCCAAAAATAGTACCACTATTATATCATGCATTAATGTATCAATAATATTCTATTCTTTGGTAATATTGAAATTTATACATTATTGTAGGCATGTAACCTATTATTTAAACTGTTTTATAAATTATACTTTATAGGTATTTAATAGTATTAGGTATATAATAAACAATTTGATTTGTAGGTTACAGTATAAATAGAAAATTAATTTCAATATAAAACACCACATTAAAAAAAAGATAGGTATATTCTGATTTAATCAACACGTTGAGCATAAAAATACTAAAATACTAAAAATTCCGAAAATTGCTTCGGAAGTAAAGAGCTATAATATTTGTTCGTATACTGCATACTAATTATTATAATTATTAATTACTAATTATTTAAAGAACCGACCTTCTTAGCGCTTCCGGTGAACGTTTTTCGCATTAAATGCCGTCAAATTACTACTCACTTTCATGTCTCATCACATCTCAATCTACATCATGCTATAATAAGATTATAAGCACTCGTTATCACCGCGGTATCGCTTGTGGTTCGCTTAAAGTTGGACAACATAAAATCATCGTGCACTGTACATCGAGCACTCAATGTTTACATAATATTCATTATATAAAACTGTATTATAATATTTTTTTAAAAACTTTGTTATTTTGTAAGAAAACTTGAGCCCGCAGGAGGGGCAGCTGCCCACCCTGCCCCTCCCGTGCGCACGCCTATGGTGAGAAGTTTATTGTGTTTCCTTCCTCACCTCGTGGAAATTTGTAATCTTTCTAAATATTTTTTTGAATTTTGGAAATAGGAATAAAATGCTAAAATGTTTATGACAAAAATTTCTTTATTTTTTATTGAAGAATATTTACTATCACGAATAAATTAGATTGTATTATGATATAGAAGATAAAATCATAAATACGCCACTGAATAGGTCCTATATATTATAATTTGTAAGGTAACTATCGATGATCACGATTCATAATACTAAACATAAATAAAATATTATTGTATAATATAAATATATATATATATATGAGCAGGGCTGAATGAAAGGGGTAAAGAGGAGACATCTACCTCCAGGCTCAAGTTTTTAATAACGCGTAGAATTTTGAAGTTTATACTTAAGTATGTTAACCTAATACCTATATGTAAATAAATTATCATTTATATTTAAATGCCTGCCACGGTGTCGCAACATGTCTGAATTCGCCCTTGATTATGAGAAATTAATTTTTTTAGGTCTTCGAAGGACAAATAAGTAAACTGAAAGAAATATATACTAGTGTTTTGGACGAAGATGCAAACTTGGACAACAATAATATTCAATAATTTTACTATTCGAATATAATTATTGGCAATATTGAATCTAAAACGTCTTGAGTAAATTTTTATGTTATAATAATAATACATACATTGTTATACATCTTTAATTAATAATTAACATTGTTTTAAATTTGTAATACAGTATTATTAGGTAGGTACCTATCTATGTTTTGTTTAAACTTTCATCTGTCAACTGTCAAGTGTCAGTCATAAAATATAATATTTTGCAGCCTGCAGGCCTCATCCATTATATATGATACATTTATAATTGATGTACCTACCTATACCTAGGCATTATGCTAGCCATAATGGTATGCAGGTTAACATATTATACTGTTAAAGGTAAGTAGGTAACTACCTACCTATGTAGTATGTATTATTTATAGCCATTATATGGCATATCGCATATGCATATACGATATACAGCCAAACAGATTACTTAATAATAATTTGTACTTACTATACGGCCAGTGCCGAAATGTAATATGTCAAATTCTGTCACTTAACGAAATAATAAAAAATAAAAAATTGTGGTCGTTTCGGGATTTAGCACTATTTTTTTTTGAAAATGATTTGTCCTGTAGAGTGTAGATATTCAGAAATTTTAGAATCTTGTATTATTATTTTGACTTGGCCAGTCACAATCCACAATTGCTACTGCCGATAGATCATTCTCTAAACTGAAAATAGTTCCAACTTATTTAAGGGACTCAATGGGAGAGAACCAACTATCAATATAAGTTTAAAACCGCAGTTTTAAACATTGAACAACATAGTATTAAAGAGTTATCTTTAGTTAAAATTATAACAGACTTTTAAAATTTAAAAAAATACTGTTAATACCTAGTTACATTTTATATTAGGTACATGCATTTTTTTTTATTTATTGATAAAAATACTATAAATTATATAAATTATATTTTGTATTGTTAATAATTGTGCACTGACTTAAACAAATTTGAGAAATTATTCTACGGTACATCACGATTAGAGTATAATTTATTGTGGAGGTAATATTATGATGTATGGACAATTGAGGCACTAATAAACTTCTGCTGCCCTGGGGGCTGGGGCATAAAAACACTTAGTTGTGGCTATTGATTATAAGACGCCTTACGCCTACACCTACTTGTAAGTTGCTCCTAGGTATAAGCATAATTTTTTATTGTACCATTAATAGCAATTGTAACAATTAATGATATTATATAATATGTCATATGTGTAAGGTTAGGTAAACATCTAAAAGCTTATTGGGCGTAACGGTTAGATATTATATTGTACTAAAAAAAATATATTATGTGTTAATTATAGGACGAAACAAAGTATTTAAGTATATTTTATTTATTTAGCATGTTTGCACGAAATTACTACAGTTTTTGTTATACATTTTATAGGAGGGACGTACACCCAAAATCTATATTATATTATCTATATTTACTGTTTTACACAACCAAATCTCAAAACTCGTTGAAATTAAAACTTGCCTGTTTATGAATTATAACAACAGAAAATACGAAACTGCAATTATTAATAGATTGAGAAATATAAATTATGCTACTTACTCATGATGATGGCATAAATTAAAAGTGAACCTGTCTACTAGTCTACAGTTTTGAGTCTACCCTTATAACAGGCTATCAGATATTGCAGGGGCAGTACACGCAGAGCTAAAGTGTAAAATTTTACTATACATAGGTATTATTATATTAAGGCTGTTTTTTCATCGTTTTTTTTTGGTGCATTTAGACCTCAATAAGGGGAATAAAAAAAATATACTTCCAGAACCCTATAATTTTAGTTTAAAAAAAAATATTTGAATTTCTTATTCACTTTTCTTGTTATGTAGAAAATGGATTTTCGATTTTTTTTTTTGTTTGATAGGTACTATTAAGTAGGTAATAAGTAATAACCAAAATAACTTAAAAAAGAAAACAAGGAATTCAAATTATATGTTTTCAAAATTAAAATCTGACTTTAGGTACTGGGTGAATTTTACATTTTTACTCCCGCATTTTGGGACTTTGATGTTGGCAAAAATATAGTGACGTGTGACTGGGCGTATGTACGTTACTGATTCCCGAGAAGTGAGAACCTTAGCCTAAGTTTATCTTTAATTACATAAAACATTCAGGGAACTCACGCACACTATAATGATCAGTCACTAAATACACACACAGTCACACATCACTTACCATAGTAGAATACTGCCTAAATCCGACCCTTTGAAAATAGGTAGTTCGCTTTCAACAGCCTTAACAGTCAACACAGGGACGTACCTAAATATTAAGAACAACGAGAAGAGCAAGAGAACAATATATTTGATTGCGCTATATCTATCAATATTAATTGAATTTAATATTAATATTCATCTGTGCCTTGCCAGTGTGTCACGACAGAAAACGAAATGTCGTAATGGCACAGGTATTATATGATGTACCTACACAGTGGTGGTTCTAGCGTATGGGCAGGGTGGGCATCTGCCCATACCAACATTTCTGGTGACCCTTATTGGGGAAGAGGGAGAAAATGAGGAATATTATTCTCAGTTAAAATCTAATTATAAATCTACTGTTGCCCATACGAAAATGTAGCCCTAGAACCGCGCCTGGATGTACCTAATCCGCGCAACACTTTCCATGTCAACTATAGGAATTTACCTGATCAATTTACCGAGCTTACATCAGTTATAAGTTATAACTTATAACTGTAGGTCCCGGATTTTTATGCAATTGCATATTCTTCTACAGTTTTACTAGAATAATTACATATTTCTTTATCTTTTATCTTTTGTTTATCATACAAGTTGCATGTTTTTTAAAATTAAATCAAACATTTTGCTATTTCAGCATTAATTTCCGGAATTTTTTTAAATAGTTTTTAACCTAACCTTTTCATTTTGAAAATCTTAAATCACATTTTGTAATTTCCTGTAGGTATTCGTTTCAAAGGAATATATTATGTTTTCTGTATGTTAATTTTACATGTATTATGTATATAGTTATATAAATATAATAATTAAAGGTATTTAAATAGGTAATAGTCTGTTGGTATTTTAATTGTATTTTTTATTTCCCTAATTATTTCTTTTATCATCATATATTTAATAATCATTTTTAATATGTTTAGTGTTTTTTAATGAGCAATAAAAAGTTTTATTTTGCATATTTTTGAATTTTCATGTGCATATTTAACAATATTTGTTGCATACAAATCCGGGCCCTAATTATAACTTGCCTACTTATAACACATAAAACGTGAATAAATATAACATGAACTGTTAATAACCTGAACAATAATTGGACAATGAATTATAATATTCATGATTTTGATTTAAATCATATTTTATTATTAACTGAAATATTAGGAAGGTTCTAATTTATACATAAATTACGGTATATACAATTATTAAAACTATATAGCATACTTATATTTTTTATATTACTTTATGGTTTATGTAGGCACATTTTAATATTTTTCTTGAAATGTACCTATCTATAAAAATCAACTCGATTGATAAATTAAATGAATAGATATGAATAAGTTTGAATAAAAATTATTATTAACTATAAGTTATCTATTTAAAAGTTTCACAAATTACAATTTGCGTAGGTACAAGACTGCGCAGATTAGATAATTTATCTTTATTATCAAGTTTTATGTGGCGTAATTTACAACCTTAAAGTGGTATTTTGCAAAACAATGTAGAGATAAATTGTGTTGCATTGTGTTTCTAGTCTATCGAAATTTTTTGAGTACGTAGATAAAAAATTGCAGTGTCTATAGGTAGTAGGTACTTAGGTAGTTTATTAATCGTTTCTTCATCTTTTTCTGCTGTACTGTTTTTATGCAACTTATGATGGACCGGCATTCAAATTGTTCGGCTCTTTGATTTAAAATAATTATTGTATCAACCTTCATCAAAGTAACAAAGAAAAAAAACTAAAAAAGTCCACAATTCCAAACATCAATAAATATTTTGAAAAGTAACTATAGGTACCTACCTACATGTTTGAAAATATCATATTGTGTAGAAAATACTTAAATACCTACCAGAATATTATGGTATCGGTAGGTATGTAAAATATTGAAGACTTCTATACGGTTATTCATTTTTTAAACGAAATAGATTTTGACAAAAACTTGTTTTGCTTGAATATTCCTGTTTTACGTATTTGTTCCAAGTTCTTACTTCTTTACGATTATTTTTAAAATTAAGTACCTACCTACCTATACCTACTCGGCATTTGTTACCTTTGACTACTCAAAGTCCAAACTAGAACCAATTTCCTACACCAGAAACAAAAGCATTTTTACATCATTCGTTGTTCCGTTATCAGAAACTAAAACAGATTTGAATGAATCAATCTGGACATTTAGGACTAGGTATTGTAAAAAAAAAAACTCATTTAGGTACCTTACACGGTGTTATAGGTAATCATAATTTATAACTGATATAATATACTAACTAATAAAGTACTAGTCACTTAACTAATACGCGTAATAACTATAATAACTATAATGATTTCTGCAATTGAAACTTACGCGTTCCGTACGATAAAATTATAATAATAGGTAGGACGGTATCCATTGTACCTCCATAGATCTAGCGATACCTATCTATAACCTCTTTGGCTATTTAACAGCAGTCAGACATTTAATAATATGTTCTGCCGCAAAGAGAAACAACGAAATAATATTGGTCTGATAAAAATGTATGTTTCAGGATTCTGTGGCGATAAGATTGATGAATAGTAATAATATGGCAGCTGGTGGAAGCGGTGAATCGTGAACTTGGCCAATTTACCTACTTACCGTCAGCCGAGTAATTCATTTCCGTTTCGTTCAATTACGTGCACTGTATTCGTTTTGGCCGTCGAAGTTTCCAGTCTTGCAAAAGGTTTTAAATTTCACTTGTCGTTGTCTTTGAGTTACCTGCCGCCCGTAAGTAGGTAATTCTTGTGAAATATTAAAGGATGTACATCGTCGTTATACTTACCTTCCTATTGTTTAGGTACCTACCTAAAGATGGAAGTCTGCACCAACGAGAACGTTAACTGTGCGGTTGCGAGTGAAGATTTATCGTGGGCATTGCAAATTGGCGATCTTGACACGGTCAAAGAACAGTTGCAGAGACTTGCTAAAGAAAACGGGGTAATTGTTTTCAGATCTTGGACTAATATTTCCTGACAGACATTAATCTAATCATTTTGTGTTCATGTATAAACAGTAGGTACATCATAATTGAAGATATTCCTGTAGCGCATTAAAAACATGCCTAATAGGTAGCTACCTATTTTTGAATTCTTATAATTCGAGAGCTATACGTTTTTTTAAAGTTTTATTAAGTAGGGACATTGTTTCTACCACTTCAATTAGGAATATATTATTTTATTTTCTATAAATATCGCCTAAACTCTAAAGTGAACAAATTGATTGATACAATAAAACAAATTATAGTATATTAGTACCCATATTTGTTTTTATTTTATATATTATATGAATTCAATTAACTTATTAAATCAAGTAATTCTGAATTGATCTGAACCTGTGTTGAATATCATCAATAGATAATATTTAATATTTAGAACAATATGGAAAACATACCTGAAATGCATACCTACCGTAATGTTCTTGTTATAAATGAACTAACTTTAATAATTTACATAAAATAAGGTTTTCAATCCAACGATCACTATAGTAAAAACATTTAAAAAAATTAAAACCATTATATTATTATAATACAATTGAAATCTATATGTGTTTTATCCTGTTTCATTATTCAATTTAGTATTCTGATATATTTAATCATAAAATATTACAAATTTAAAAGTAATTAATTATTTTTTAAAATCTATTATTCAAATAAAATAGTTATTAATGAAGATTATAGATACAAAATATCTATGTTAAATATTTATTAGACGACATAATTATATATTTGCAGTGCTCGACTTAGCAAAATTAAAGTAGGGGGGCTCTGTTTACTTTAAAATGAGAGCTAGTGTCCCCATCACTTATTCCTAGTATCCCTACATGTAGTATCTCCACACCCCCTATTATTCCTTTTTAAATCATATAAAATATATTTATAAATAATCAATTTAAAAAATTAAAAAATACAAGTTAATATAATATTAATATAGTTATTTTAATTTATAGATCCACGGTTATGAAATAATCCATTAGACATAATATTATAATCATAACTCTCGCATTTTGATAAAAATACAGAATGATTAAGCATCCCTTAAAGTGCATTCTCCAGTTCCCTTAAAAATAATAGTACTGGTACTCTAACATTTCTGAAAAATTAGTTTGTGTACTCTTTCCCCCTGCCTCCCTCTCAAGTCGAGCACTGCATGTCTGAATACATAAATAAATAATTAATTATGCAGTTAAATCATGTTTTTAAAACATTCTTAATTTTAAATTTTAAATTTTATTTTATAATAATATAAATGTAATCAGAGATAATGTACGGAATTATGATTCCACATTTTATTGAAAATACGGCACTCATTGGTCATTAATCACAAAAAAATTTTCATATTTTATTTAAGTTCATATTTAAACATTGAAAAAAACACTTGATGAAAAATAATATTGAGGTGAAATTTTTTCTCTTGAATATTATGGTGATAATCGTGCCACGTGCCAATCGCTAAGATTACAATAATTTATTACTGATGTAACACATGTAAACGTTATTAATGACTGAAGACTCTTATTATATTGAAAAATTAAATTTAAAAATCTACATGATTATATGGGTACTGGATTGTTATATCCCCGCCCATGCATATGAAAACTTTATAGCCCCGCAACTCAGGTTTTTTTTATCTCGCCGCCATCAATCAATAAATATATTGGAAAAAACGTACCAAAAAAAATAATAACAAATAGTATATATTTCATAATAATTGTCAGTCAGCACTTATGTTGGTGGGCCTGCTCCAAAAGCTTAGTGGTTTAAGACCACTGTGTTTGAGACCCCCTGCACTTGATTAACATATCTATTACAAATATGAATTATTATATAATTTTAATTACACAATTTAACAATATTTTTAATTTGGATTTTTGTACTTTAGGATTGGGATATAAACAATGTTTCAAATGGAAGAACTATGTTACATAAGGCTTGTGATTATGGTCATTTGGATATTGTCGAATATTTAATTCAAAATGGTGCTGATATAAATGTAAGTAGTTGTTAGTTTAGAGAATAGTGACCATAATGTTACTATTTTTGACATTTTATGTCTGCTTTGGCACATAGAATCGAAAAACGTTACGTTATGTTACATTAGGTTGCCATGGTAATATGGAGACACATATAGACAAAAATCTCAAAATAATATACAAATGGTGCCATGGACACACAGACAGACAGTCGTTCTTTCAACTGATTTTTTCAATTACCCTATAAATATTACCTAGGTATGTGCTATGATAGCAAGGACAGCAAAGACATAAAATGTGGTACTTCATTGCAGACTCGTATGCAATATGATTATAATAGCTTCAAAACCCATGGTAACCATGGGAACCAAAGGATACACACATTTAACACGGTTTTTTTATATTTTTATACTTTTTTCAAATAATTAGTATATAATACAAATTTGGAATGACACTGAAAAATATACTTGGCGTACAGATGATGCATAATCGTGTGACCGCCGGCGGCCATATGGCGCAGAGGCGTGCTGAATAGTAATTTTTGAGGCAATTGCCTCAGGGAAAATTTGGTTAGGTGGGTGGGTGTGTTAGTATAGATGTGCAACTTATACCTAAAAAATCTTAATAATATTTATTATTTTAAATAATAAAAAAAAATAGTGAAAAAACTGTTGGTGGTGGGGATCAAATTGTATAGTTTGCCTCAGGTCTGCTTGTCAGTTTGGCACGCCACTGATATGGCGGTTAACGTTTAATGTAAAACCTCTGATATTTTATCTATTTTATTAAAAAGCAAAAATGTTACCTAACCCTTAACTATATAATTATTTGTCAGTATTATTATTGATTTTATAATATATTATCAAATGTGAAAAGAAAGGTTATATAGCTTTTCATTGGATTAAAATGCATTATATAATGTAGTCTTTATTTATCACAATATTTAAAGATTGTAGACATAGAATGTGAAATGATAAATTATTATATCTTAATGAATAAAAGAACTTATCCTGACTGACTGATTCATCATCGCCTAATTGGAATTGCCCCAAACTATGAGTATTAAATTTGGTCAGTAGATTCGTTTTATGATGTAAAGACTCACAGAGAAAGGATTTTCCAAAATTTGTATTTTAAAGAAGTCCTCAAATAAGGATTTTGAAATACTTATAACTCATTAGCTACTCATCCTAAATTTGGTTTTTTTGCATCAAAATCCTTAAAAAATATTCTGCTTTAGACTATATAATTAAAACTGTGTCGTCATTCAAAAAAAAAAAAATTAAAAAAAACTTACAAAATCTTGAGAAAAAATATTAAAAAATTTATTTATTTTAAAATGTTGCTTTTTAACAACTAAAAACAATGTAAAAGTTTTTTTTTTCAAAAACATTTATACTTTTTGAAGTAACGGGTGTTCAATAATAAAGGAATTATCCGGTGTATAATAAATATCTAAAATACATAATATTATATGATAAAATGAATTAACAACAATGAAGCCCTGTTCGGGTTGATTTATCCTCTCAAATTACTATAAGTAGGCATTGAAAAAAAGTTATAAACACACTCCAAGTTTCAAGGAATCTATTGATATAACTTTTATTGAAACCGGTCCAGTATTGTATGCGTATATTAATTATAGATAGATCAACATCCATTTATATATATATACAAATGAGCATTTAATGATACCATTGATTATAAATACTGATCAATACTGATGCCGATCAATATTAGAATAAAAATCTGATAAATATAAAATGTATTACATACACTAAACACATTATAAATTGTATTTATTTTTTAGAAGAAGGATAATTTCGGTATTACTCCATTGCTGTGTGCCCTGTGGGAAAATCATTTCAAAGTTGCCAAGTATTTAATTGATAAAGTAAGTTAATGTAATAAACTGTTGTTTAAAAGATTTATTTTTATTAATTAAAATTTTTTTAGGGAGCAATTACAAATTTATTAACACCACAAGGATTGAAGTACTATGAATGCATTGAAGATTCTGAGATGATAAACTTATTAAAGCGACTAGAAACTCAATAATTAATTATATCCCTTTAATTCAATAATTGAATAATCTATCAAAGTCTATATGTACCTCTAATGTTATTCTCATATTATTTGGGATAATTACACAATATAATGAGTAATAACTAATTACATTCAAAAATTCCTTGTATTTAAAATAACCTTTTTAAAGGATAGTTATCATTGTTATTATTTATTAGTTTTATGATATAACATTTCACATTTATTTATCAACTCATTTTAAAATATTCTAGATTCATGAAAGAAACAATTATAAAATAATGACTGGAATTATAATATTTATAAACACTTGTTCCTATAGTAAATTGTTGGTGGGATAATTTGACAATAAGTGATTAAGTTTTCATTGTTATTATTATAATTATTAATATGTATCAATAAAGTAATGAATGATCAATTAAAATTAATACAATAAATGTGAAATTTGAGACACTTTTGTAAGTTAATTAATATTAAAATTCAATTTTTAGCATGTTTAGACATGTTTACATACTCTTTTATATTAACAACTATGTTAATCATTTTAAAGTAATAAAATATTATAATCAAATTATTATTGTTATAATTAATTACTATTTATTTTATTTATGTTTAAATATAAATCAAATGCTACTTTTTTCTAGCAGTTTGTTTTTTTTTTTTGACATGGGTAATTAATATTTGATCATCTATATATCTATTATGCTTGTTTACAGAAATTATTTATTCTTTGCATGTTTAAGTTTTGATGATATATTAATACATTTATAAATACAAACAAAACAGTTTTAAACATAATTTTAAATACATATACCTTTAATATGAATATAATTTGTGTTTGATACTTGATAGTTAACGAATTAAAAAATTATTGTTGAAATTGTATGTTAATATTGCTGTATTATTAATTATTAAAAACATTATTATTAATACAATCCAGATGAATATTGTTTAATATTAGTCTTTAGAAGCACTTATATAATACATTTATCCTACTGTATTTTTTTTTATTATTATTATTATTATTATTATTACTTCATATTACACTATATAATTTTTTTAATATATCTTCATCTATTTATTTTTTGAGTTTTTATATTATTTTGCTTTAATTTCTGAACGTATGTAAGTATTTTTTTTGTTACACATTTGCTTAAATTATAGCTAATATACATTTAATCATACTGTAGCAATGTAGCTCATTTTCAATTAAATGATTTTGAGTTAATTGTTTTAAATCATTGGAATATAAAAACATTTCTATAGTATTTTAATTCACGCAATACTATTAAAATGCACTTAGCAGCTAGCATATTTTTAATATAACTATTCAGAAAATATACATTTATAGAAATTCACTTAATTTATATAACTGTGAATTTTTAGCTATATTAACATGGTAACATTCACATGGGGATTTGAAAAATGAATCTGTAAACATAAAATAACACCTTAGAAGTAAGCATCTTTGTATCATTGTAAATTATGTTTTGGATTTCCTGATATTCTCTGTGTTTGTCTCTCTGGAGTACATATTTATTATTGTTCTTTAATTATTTTATAATTCCTACTTTTTAATTGTTTTGCACAAAAAAAAAAACATTAAGAACACGGACATTTACCTTACCAGTTAGTACAGTGGCGGCCAATCCATGTTAGTGAGTCGGCAACTAACCACCGTGCTCTTGGCCATGTGGACCTACTGCTGAGAAATAATAGTTAAGCTTATTATTATTGAAGAATCTTCTATTCTAAGTATAATATAAATGTTCTATTTATCATTAGCATTGCACATTTGCACAGCTATTGTTAACTATGAAAGAAATTCTAAAATAACTGAGTCATTATATTTTACATTCACGACATTCATGACTGTAACCAAATTACTATTATACCTATATTGTTCTGTTCTATAAGTTATAACCATGAAGACTAGAACCAAAGAGTAACTAAATCTATGACTAGAATAAGGAGACCAAGCTCTGCTTCCGATAACATCCCGAAATGAGTCGCACAATTAAACGGCAACAGGCTGCGGTGCGTACTCTAGGGTTGCTACTGTAACCCGCGTAGTATAGGGATTATTCATGTTTTGTTACGGTTTTTTGGAAAATATATGCATTATTTTGAACCATGACCTATAGATAGTATAGCTTGTACGATTATGCATAATCGTTAAAAAAAAGAAATTAAGAAATAAACACGTCATATGCTCATGTTTAAATGCGAAGTCGTACAAGCTATAAAATCGAAAGAGGGTCATGGTTCAAATAATGCATATTATGTTTTCAAAAAAACATGAACAATTACAGTCTTGTAAAGTACTTGAGTGAAACTCATTAGAAAATACAATAATGTATTTTACATTTCTGCGTATACATCATATCAACGAGAATACTTCTAAATGTAATAATAGTTTAAATTGGAAAAAAATGTTAATCGTCTTTTGATTACGGCGACGAACACCGATAAGAAAAAAAGAAACAAACGCATAAAAATCAAAAAAATTTCCCTCACGACAATATGAATTATGAAATTACGATTTGTTGTGAAATTGTTGTGATCAGACCCGACAAAAAAATGTGGAACGCTTCACGATTTTGCGTGTCATCCTTGCGCAGGGGCCATGCTAATCTTCTCTGTATCGTTCCAATTTTAGTATATGTACAGCCGAAGCTAGTACAATGAGAACTGTGTCAAAAGCTGTATATATATAAAGCAATGTTGCTTGTAGCGTCACATATGAGAATTGTTACCTTTTATAGTCGAAACATAACGATTGAACCGCTGACCGAAATTAAAACCAATAGAGGGAGCTAGTTCTGTAGTCACTCATTCGCATTCACCGTTCGTTTCGTTTCGATTCACGGTCTTATAATATTATTACCTATCCCTAACTAAACACTTACCTACTCAAATACGTAGGCATTCTAAACACATTTGAATAATGTACTTGGGCACCGTATTTGAATATTTTTTTTGAAAGTATCTGTATTTCAAATCAAATACTTTTTTCATCTTAATTTATTTAAAGGGACGTCGATTTAAATAAAACAATGCCAGTTTGAAATTATACAACATTTTTATTTATAGATCGTTCATAGTTGTGTTTATTGGTACATCGTAATATTTTTAGTGGCCTCTACTAGATATCCATTTAATTAAATGTATGAGTATTAATATCCTAATAAAATATTAATATTTCAATAAATCCTAATATTAGCTAGTGTTCTAATAAAATTGTAAATAACTTTACTCGAATTATGTAGGTATACATAGGTAGGTATATAAAACTTAAAGATAGTCGATAGTTAATAATATATTACATATATACATTATACACGCAACTCGTGTTCGGTTATTCCTTTCGGGTAATCCGTCTTTACATTATCGCAGGATATGGTTGAATAACGAATTGTACATTTTAACCGTGTTATAGTGTATGATTTAGACAGTCTATGGAGTGTGTACTAGCTAAGACTTAAAAACATCAAGTTATACGTAATTTGTATATCGTGCTGGTTTTATTACATTTTTTAATATTTAAAACTAGTGCTAATAAATAAAAATGAATTCAGTTTACTAATGATTCAATTTATCCATAAGGTCATTAGGCCAAAGTAAAAATAGGTGGGCAACGGGCAAGTGGGTGTCGCTCTACTGTACAATAGGTTACAAGTGGGTCACTTTAATGGATCGTATTTAATTTGAATTCAATGATATAATATTATTGTATAAGAAAAACGATTCCGAGCGAAGACAGTCAGCCTATGATATATTTATATTACTAAAAATATTTTATGATATTATTGTGAATAAAGTAATTTATATTTATAATCTATATTTACGTGGAACCTCTTGTTTTAAATGTTCAATCCTTAACTTTAAAAGCTGAAAATTTAATACATTTTTAACTACAAAATCATTTTAGATTCTGAGCGAACGATGAATGTATTACAATGATGTGTGTTTTTTTATTTTTGTGTCTGTGTACGTAGGTAGTCGAATTGTCGAAACAATGGTTCGATTTTCAACTTCAGTATCTTGGTCGGTGGGAAAGTGAATATTATTATTGGTGAATTGGGGAGGTCAAACTTTAAAATTCTCAATAGTTTTCAAAAGCGCCGGGAAAAACAGCATAACAATTTTTCGACAAAATCGTTTTGGGTTTTTTGTGTAACTCTAAAACGACTGGAACGTATACATGAAATGTTCACTGGTTGTTTATATTCGCATTTTCTATACATGATAAAATTTTCAAAATGTATTGATTTGTTTTGAACTGTTTAGGAACATTTTCAGCTTCCAATTTTATTAGTTTTTTTTTCTATGAATGTCAATAAAACTTTATTTGTTGGGTAACAAAGCTTGACAATGAAATACAAGGCTCCTACTGTATTGGTACAATGACATTTGAAAAATACCTATTAAAAACCCTTAGTCACATTAAAGTTAAAATCTTGACAAAATACGGAAAACTCAAGAAACTTAACAAATTATTTTGAGTTGAGAATTCATAAAAATTTTTCTTTTTAAATCTAAAATTTTAAATTGTTATACAAGATTCCTTATAAGTTTGTCTACCTTTATCAAAAAAAAAAAATGTTTACAAGCAAATCAAATCACATTTTAATGAGCGTTTGAAGTGCATATTTTTACAAGATTGGATATTCGCTCGATTTCTCGCATGTAGCGATTTACCGAATGATAATATTTTCATTTTATATACACCATAACATTTTGAAAATATTTTGATTTGTTTTGAACTATTTACGGACATTTTCATTTTCAATTATTTTAGTTTTTTTCTATGAATGTCAATTAAATTTTATTTGTTGGGTAAATAAGCTTGAAAATAAGGATCCTATAATATATTGTTACAACAACAGTTAAAAATATTAAAAATACAGTCACAATTTTTTTTTTATAAGCATTTAAAGTTCTAATTTTTACAAAAGGGGTAAGAATCACGAAAATGTGAGAATTATCTTGAGTTAGAAATTCATAAAAATTTT